TTTTTCTTGGTACCAGGGTTTGAACTCAGAACCTTGCACTTGTGAGGCAGGTGGTGGCATCACTGAGCTAAATCCCTGGCCCAGGTAAGAATATTTTTTAGCTATACCCTCTTCTGTAGAGCAGTTTAGTTTCATGAGAATTTAAATCCATATAAACATTTTGGGGTTCAACTTCTTCTGATTGCAAGTAAGGTCTTGAGTTGATTATAAGTTTAGTCTATTCATGTATAAGATGGAGATGATGATGATAATTATAATGATAATACTACTAATAAAAATGTCATTTTCCTTTTATGTATCAGTGGATGATTTTGATGACAAGAGTACATACAAAATAACTTAAATTTAATTCATTTTCACATGATAGCTATTATTATGATACAGTGGTTATAAAATGGTAGGCCAACTTTTTCCAAGAAAGCTTGCTAAGCAGAAGAAAAAAATACTGTTTGACCCAGTTATGTTAAGAAGAAAGAATTTAAATATACTACAAACGGAAAGGAGATAGATTGTGTCAAATTTTAAGATGCTTAAGTTTTTAAAAATGAATAAAAGAAAAACCCAAACCCTCAATGTCCTGTATGTGGCTAATATTTGTAGTTAATATTTGAAAGGATGATTGTGTAGCTAACATTTCATGGGAGTTGTTAATTTAAAAATAATTCAGTGCAGGATATTCTGTGTATTTTTAAGAAAAGAGCTGAAGATACAGAGGAGAGATGGAATAACTATTGTTTCAATATTTTTAGTGAACTTTAGTTTATTTCATAGCACATTTTTAGTTACTCACAGCCAAAAGGCTAATTTTTTTAAAAAAGTAAAAACAATTAAGGGAATGTTTTTATTATTTAAAAAATTACCTATCCAAATGAAACTGCAGTAAATATGATAAGCTAAAGAGTAAGCAACAGATCATATAATTTTGGAAATGAGCAAAGGTAAGCTTCTGCGTGTTTGTTATATTAACACAATCTGGACTAATTACCACTGCATATCAATTAATGTTTATGAAATGAACAGGTCATAACAACAACTCTGTGACCTATATATTATTGTTCCCTTTTTGCAGATAAGAACATGGAATACTCAGCTTATTTGAGTAACTTTCCTACTAAAAAACACCTGCAAAGTAGACGCACTAAGATTTTAGCTTTGATTTGCCTGACACTGGAAAGAGTATTCATCGTGATCTGTCCATTACATCTCAAAAATCTCACCTTACTGAAATATAAACAGTTGTTTCTTAACCCACTTTCCTTCTTCTACAGGAAATCAGCTGACGCTTATTAATAGAGACTAGAGGCAGAGGAGTAGAGAAGGAAAGGCTATGAAGCATTTTCCAGAGTGCTCAGGCATGGAGAAGCTCAAAAGGGCTCAAGGTTTCAAAACCCAGGTACTACCTGTAGCAGTTACTGAGAAAGGATTGCTTCTGGTTAACAAAAAGGTTGAGAGTCCATATCCATACCCTGGAGGTATGAACACCCAGGGATGTTTCAGTCACCTGTGGGGTATGTGTTATATTTGTCTTCTTGCCTGGGGAACTCACCAATTATGTGAAAATGTCAACTGGTTTCCCTACCTGATTTTATCACTATCATTCAAAAAGTAAAAAAATGTCTTCCCACAGAAAGAAAAACCATTCAAGATAAAAATACAAAAGGGTATTTTTTTTCCTAAAGAGACAGAGGCAAACTAAAATGTTTTAAGAATGGGCAATTAAAAAAACCATGAGAACAAAAAGAAAAAAAATATTCTGTTCCCAGAGGAATGATGTAGAAATTTTGAGATTGAAGATATTTTTGATAATATAAGCCATAAAAATAGAAAGTCACATGCCCATACATTCTACTACAAATACAGATGTAAAATATAGCCATAGGAACATATTTAAAAGTGCCATCAAACCGTATGCAGAGTTGTCTGTGTGTGGCAGGATCATTTAAAATTTGTCCCCTTTTTACCAAAACTGTATTTTAAATATCTTCTACAGAGAAGATGTAATACTTGGAAGATAAGAGTGTGCCTCTTTCCAAAAAAGATTCTACAACTTTATGCATATGGAAAATCCTGAGGTTTCAGGAAAAGTTGTTACATGTATGAAATGTATTACTTACATAAAGATGTATACAGATTACTTTTATAGAGTCTTATACTGGTATCTAAGAAAGGAGCATGCTTTTTTGGTAGAATTTTGATTCATGTTCTGTTCTGAATTTATTTACCAAGAACTATAACCTCCCTCTTCTTTATCACATACTTTAATTAGAACATGTGAGTAATAGGCATTTTTTGTTTTTTCACTACTGCCCCATTTAATATTTGAACAATTCTTTCATTATAGCCCTTCTGGAGTGGAAGTACCTGCATAAAACTCAGCCTATTGCTAATAGGATATAGGCATATCATCCAAGTTGGCCAATCAGAAACATTCACTCTAGCAGATGGCAGCAGAAGCATATTGAGCTTTCAAGGCAGCAATGGCCAGGTAGAGCCATAGAGACCAGTATTCACAGGGCAGTGTGCAAGCATTCTGGTATACCTCACTCTACTTGCTTTTGTGCCTTAATTTTGACTGTGGTCATGGCCTTTCCTGCTTTGCACTTGGCAATGTTTGATTCTAAAACTTCCCTCTCCATTTTGTAATGTGCTTACCACAATTTTATCCTTAAATCAAACAAAATTGTTTCCTGCTGCCTGCAGTTAAAAACTCATTGATAGTGTAAGAAAATTATTTTAGAGAGGAAAATGTATCCTTTATCATTTTGAAGGTTAGGGCAGAAATTTAAAGATCTTGGAGCGCAGGTGGTGTTGTATATCATTTTCCAGGCAAATGTTGTGATTTTGGAAAAGAAAGGAGGAAACTGAATGTAAAAACACAGATGGTGTTGATAAACTGAATTTGGTTTACTGGACCACAGCTATTGGTATTACTGAAAAAGTTTTTGGCAAAGGGATGATACACACCTCACTGGAGTCGTAGTGATGTTTTGTATATCATTGCTGAAAAAAATGGGAAGGCTTTATAGTCTTAGCGATGAGGAAAAAACACTAATTTAATGACATTATTCATTATGGGAGATGGTGAATAAATAGATGAATGAAAATTCATATAATATCCACTTAGTGCTTGCTTAGTTTCAATAACTATAATAGAGAAAAGAAAAAAACAGCAATCCCTGCTTTCTAGAAATGTCTCATTTAAACTCTACTACTTACTTTTTATCTAGCTATAATAATATTTTTCATTTGCTAGTACCCTATTTATCTGTGAATTTCTTGGGGATGGAAGACTTATTTTCTATTTCTTTATGTTCCCAGTACATATGCAATCTTTGATATAACTGTCTTTTAAGAACTATACAAGGGGCTTTAAGCTCTGAAGCCCCCTACCACCTCAAGGTAGCTGCCTATGCTCTTTTCCATCTTTTTCCCCAAATAAAAAGTCTTTTGTTATGGAAAAAAGAGAACTGTACATGGAATGAACAAATGAATGAGTGAGTGAATGAATAGAGGAAATGACATTACCAGTAAATGAGGCTGAAGAATCAGTCAGTGAACGAGTTTTCTTTGCATTCCAGGTAATTTGCTTTTCTGTAAAATAAAGAAACACAGAAGGCAAGCTTTCTAAGTTTGCAGATACTGTATAGGGGAGAGGAATACCTAAAACATACAGTGACAATCAGAGATTTCAATATTTATCATGTAGTGTAACTCAAGAAAGTGTCTCAAAGAGTTTCCAATGCTTCACTGCAGTTATTAAAAAGTCTTAAACTCACTAGGAAGGTAAAAAGCAAAGAAACAGGATGAAATAAATGAGCCGATTAAATATGGGGATCAAAATCAGTGTGATGGACCAGTGCAACAAAACCCCTTAGAATATCAGGAGGAGCAGTCACATCTTCTGCACTGGTCAAGATGACAAGAAAACTGTTTTCAGATGCCTTGAATTTTTCAAGATCACTGGAAAAGCAGAGCTCATTCAAGAAAGCATGATCTTTACCTTGAAGGGTTCAAAAACTATAATAGACATTTTAATGACCTGAGGACATGGAGGTTTCAAACACTTAGAATGAGAAGAGTGTGATTAGCTCAGTATCTGCTGTGATGAATTTAGTTATCAATTAGAGTTCCAAAGCTTCTGGTCTCTTTTCCAAACTAGGCTTGAGGCAGTGATCAGGAGCTGAGGCTCCAAATCCATAGTTCAAAAGGAAAAGAGAAAAGAACAAGGAGTAATAGATAAAACAGACAGATAAATAGCCTGAAATATGGGCCCTTAGCTTTGAGATATTCAGCACCACATTCATTAAGTGTATGTGTGTGTATCTCACAGATACTGTTATTCATAGCATTAAGCAATCTGACCCTTAAACAAGTGTGCAGCAATGCTTCCTGCTCCTTTGTAACATAACCTGTTTAAATTTATAGGCAGGCCATTGGAGACCCTGTATCAAAAAACAACAAAAAAAAAAAGGAAAAAAAATTATAGACAGATTGCAATTTCACATCATGTGCACTCAAGTAAAGAGCCAGCTAATGACCAGGAGCAGATGCAAGGCCCAAACCTTTCGAGGTTTTACTTCTTTTATCGACACTCTTGATTTAACAAATGACAGAGGTCACCAATCTCATTCCCATCCAAATCTTTTCTTTCCAAGCTGGGGTCAAATCCAGGGCCTCACGCTTACCAGGCAGGTGTTCCACCACACAGCACTGTGCAACACCCAGAGACAAATTCAAACTCTCAACAGCGATCTGTAGCTTCCGGGTTAGGAGCAAAGGCTGAGGCTACGGCACACCCGCGCCTGGAAGGGGCGGGGTGTCACCAACTGCGCAGGCGCAGCAGCACCGTGGGGCCCTCTGGGAAAGCGGAAGGAGCCCGGAGAAGGCTGGGGCCAACTCCACGTTTAAAGGGTAAGTGGGAGGCTTCCACAGAGCTAGGATTAGAAGGTTCAAGTGCTCATTGGATGCATAATTTTAAAACATTTCCGTTTCCTGTAACCTTTTTCAACTAAAATACCTATTAAGTTTCAGAAATTATTGGAATACAAAGACTACACTGCACGTGGAGTTGGGGGAGCGCGGGTTCTTCCTGGTTTTGAAACCCTTTTGAATAGGAACTGTGTAACAACAGGGAAGTCATGGAAAGAAACCCAGTTCGAGTGAAAGTTCTAGTAGAAATCCCCAGTATCATTTCCAGCTAAATGCCCTTCAGTATTTAATTACCCAACTTATAAAAGTAAAAGATTTAAAAAAATTAATATACATCACAAATATACCTGGGAATTTTACTGAAAGTTGCAGTAGGAATGTTTACGTAAACGAATTTTTGTGCACTTGTTTTTATGCTTAGAGAAAAATGGAAGAGTATCTTTAACTTTTAAAAATCGTTTTCTCTGAGCCTGGACGCGCCTGTAATCACAGCACTCAGGAGGCTGAGGCAGGAGGATCACCGAGAGTTTGAGGCCAGCCTGGGCTGCATAGTGAGTTCAGGGCCAGCCTGAACTACCAAGTGAGACCCTGTCTCAAAAAAAAAAAAAAAAAGTCCCATTTAGAAATAACATAGATTCTGAGGCTACCTGAAGTAAATTCTGAGGTCCAGATTTTCTAATGATGTTAAAATATTGGACTTCACATAGTAAATATCTATGTTTTCTTGTCTACCAAAATAAAATAACAATAGCACTTGAGTTGAATAGTATAATAATATATAAAAGTATGTAGCATATGGTATGGACGAATGTTTTCAGAAATGATTTAATAACACTAATGGAACTTTAGTAATGCTATTTGCATCCCTGAGAAGTATATATAATATAGCACTATGTATGCTATGATACATATCCATACAGTCTCTGATATGTAACTCTACCATGTTAACCAGATGTTGTTTTCATTTTTTTTCTAATGGGAATATATTTTGGCTTTTTTAAGATTGGTTCATTAGTCTTATATAACAATCTTCTCAGTGTAGTCTGTTGGTTAATTGGTCAGATTTAAGAATGTTGTTTGTGGATGGAAAGGAGATAAAACTGTGTTAAAAAGTAGCAAATCCACTGACATTTGTATTTTCAGTCTAACACTTCCAAATACATGCACATATTCTTATTTTCCTTTACATTCAAAGACATTTTACGTTAAGTAGTTTAGTAAAGTATACCTACACGAAAGTGCACAAATCAACAGTATATAGTTGGTGAATTTTCAAAGAGAACACACTCAGGTGACCACCATGTAGATCAAGAAATGAAGTAATCTCAATGCCCTAATATTACATCCCGTTGCCCCTCCTCATCACTTCTTCCCAGTAGTTATTTTTATTCATATCACAATAGATTAGTTATGCTTGTTTTTGAGGCTTATAAATTGATAGATGGAATTCCTCAGCATGAACTTCTTTTTTGACTACTTACTTGGAAGTAATGTATTGTTTATGATATTCATCTGTATTGTTGTATCTAGCAATATTTCAATCCATTGCCTGTATGGTATTCGATTGCATGAATCTTCTTTATTTCTATGACTGATGAAAATTTTTATAGTTTTCAGTTTGGACTACTATTTAGACCATTATGCTATAATTATTCTTATTGTTGGGCATGGTGGAGGACACCTGTAATCTAGCACTCAGAAGTCTGAGGCAGGAGGATTGTCATGAGTTCAAGACCAGCCTGGACTACATACTGAGACCCGGTCTTAAAAAAACAAACAAAAAAATTCTTATGTCTGACCATTAGTGAACACATATGTTTCTAAAACTAATGGCACATTCCTAGTAATAAAAACACTTAAGTTATTGCATGTGCACAAGTTTAGCTTTAGTGAATATTGCCAGTTTTTCAAAATGGTTTTACCAGTTAACACTCCCTCCAACAATCTATATGAATTTAACTTTGCTATCAGTGTGATTGAGAGCTAAGTTCTTTTTTTTTTTTTTTGTGCCGGGGATCGAACTCAGGACCTTGCACTTGCGAGGCAGGCGCCGGAACCACTGAGCTAAATCCCCGGGCCAAGAACTAAGTTCTTTTCACAAGATGGGCAGTGAAAATTTAAAGCAATGATAAAATTTGCTGTAGTTTAGCGTCAACTTTTGAAAACCCATACATGTATTAAATTATTTTTCTAAGATACCTTTGCTCATAAATTAGTAAACCCTCCCTCTGAAATTGATGCTAGTCCATCTTTAATTTTTTACTGTAGTGGTCATTAGTACATATTGTTGTTGGATTTGGTATTATATTTTTTATGGAATTTAGTCTGCATTGTTGCTTTGGTATTTCATTAAAATACTGGAAGTGATGAGACAAGAATTTATTATACTCCTACAGGAATCATAGGACTATGCCAGACTTGAGACATAAAGACATTAAAAGCATTGGAATTCTACCTCTAGTGCAGGAAACAGGTAAGAAAAAGGTGATTATAATTGCAGTAATCGTGCATCATGGTCAAATGAAATGAATGAGAGAGGAAAATCTAATCTGAGATAGAAGAAGGGAAGTGTAACGAAAGCTGTTGGAAAGAAGGGACTTCTTAGCTGAATTAAAAGAATGAAAAAGACTTTTAGTTAAGTATATATGAATCTCACCTTGATTACATTTTTTTCTCTTGTGAAGAGAATTCTGTGAAGTTTTTTATATTCCCTTGACTGCAATGGAAATACAAGTAGTGCTTGTTATACAAAGGAGGTAATACAGTAGAAATGTGTGCAGAGGCAGATAAGAACAGAATTTCTCCTGCCCATCTCACACTCCATCTCATTCCCAAACTACATTCAATATTTAAGACCTTGCTTTACTCCTTCCTTTTTTGTGGTGATGCATTGCATATAAACTATAAACCTGCTGTACTTGTATTTTTCTATCTCTATGTAGCTCCTTTGGATTTTAAGAAATTCTAAGTTTCTGTTTAAAAATAATGTTAAATGTATACCTCAGTTCCTTGCTTTTATATTTCATGTAAGTTTGTTCTAATATTGTGTTGTATTTCATGATACAGATCAATATATGGCATTTTTGGTAATATATAAAAATTAGCATCACAAAAACGTTAATAGCTTTGTAGATCTTAGGTGGTGTTTTTTAAGTTGAATCCCTTACCTGTTATCCCTACCCAATGTCACATGCCCACCTGAGAGAGCCACTGTTTTGAATTTTGAGCAACTTGTTTTTATTAACTTGATGAGATACCATATACATCTATATCAGCAGATAGCAGTTTACTCATTTTAAAATTTTTATAAATATACACATTGTGCATAATTTACACAAATAGTGAATTACTCACACTTTATTTCATAGCAATATGTTTTCTTTCCTTACCTCTCACTTGATTTTTTCTCTTTTCCACCCACTTCCATCTTCCCTCATATCTCACTGGTAACCTGTTTTGGAAACCTAGGTCCAATTTTGTATTCTTTCAGACTTTACTCCAGTTTATTTAGCTGTATAAAAACATAGTTAAAAATTATACATTTTTGAAGTATACATAATTATGAGCACAGTGAACTTATTTGTGTATACACACATCAGTGAAAAATAAAAATTAATGTTATTTGTTACATATGTTGTAATTGTTTATTCAGTAATAACCAATAGATTGCTCCATGTTAACTGACATAAATCTATTTTTAATGACTATATAAAACTCCATATTGTGGATATACATGGTTATTCTGTTATTCTTCCATTGTTAATTATCCACTTTACTTACTTATTTTCATTATGAGCATTGCTTTTATAAATTTGCCAGTACATAATACTTTTGGCTGTGGCCTTTAACTCTTTGGAGTAAATTTTCAGGAGTGAGATTACATAAAAGGAATTTTCAGTTTTAGGAAGTGTTGCTAAAAACTGGGTTCGCATTTATGTTTCCAAAAGATATTCATGAGAGTACACTTTTATCATATCCTTGTCAGAAATGGTTCTTATTTTTCTTCTTTAAAATTTTGCCACTGTGGTGGGTAAAAGTGATATTACATTAATTTGTAAGCCCCTGATCAATACCAAATTTTACCTTATTATATTGTAGTTATTTAGTTTTCTTCTAATTGTTTATTTCTTTGTTGTTTGTTTCCTTATTTCTTTTCAATCTTTTACCTATTTTTCAATTTGTAAAAATATTTTCATAGTGTGCATATTATCTCTTTATCTTTTGTTTTATAGTTTCCCTCAATAATATTATTTTCTGTGAATGCTTATTCTTATAAAGAACAAAAATAATGCATAAGAATATTTTTGAAACTATTGCTTTATTGGCTTAAGCGGCAGTCCCAACTAGCTGTCCCAAACTTGAGGAAATAAAATAATTTCCAAAAGCATTCAGAATCCTTTGTGCTTTTTCAATCTCTCCACAAGGAAGATTGTCTTTTGTGCCTGAGGTAAAAGATTTAAAGATTAAACTTTCTGGACAGGTACAAAGGAGATTTAGTTTTGGCAAGTGTTGCACAATTCCAAGGCAGAACCCTTTACTCCTTTAAGCAAGATATGTGCCCTTGGACAATATGAGACAAAATCGTCACGGTTCATGTTAGTACAAATAGTTTTAGTGTGCTGAGGGAACCATGATTATCTCGTTACTTGACCATTTGGATTCTAGCTTTGGCAGAGTCAAAAGTCAGGATTAATTAATTCCTATGAGTAGCATTAAAATGAATTTCCATCAAAGCAAGTTTATGATTGCACCTTACACATGCTCTATTCCTGGTAATGTCAGTTCAGTCCTCTGCTAGTAAATACAGATCATCCTGCCTTCCACGAACTCCTGGGTCATTTCATGATGGGCCAACCACAACCACCTTAACAGAACTAAAGGAAAAAAGACAAAGTTTCAATATTAAAAAACAAAACACTAATATATGTTATGCAAAGATGAGGAAGGGGTCACTAAAGCAAAAAGGCAAGGCAGGAAAATAAACATGATTTATTATTGTAAGCTTTATTTTGCAACATGTTTAGAAACTGAGCCTCAACTCTCTCTGGACCAAGTATTTGATTTATGTTAAACGTATAGCATTTACTTTTTCCAAAATAATTTTAGTATAGCCAGTACCCCTTATTTAACCAGAACTTCATTTTATAAAAACATAATCAACAACCAGGAAAGGAAAAGTTAGAAATAAACTGAGCACTTAATAGAGCAGGGCACTTTACATGACGTATACCTCACTTAAGCCACACAATAAGCCCAAGAAGGAATTATTTCCACTATTTTACAGAAGGAACATTGCAGCAGTGTGAGATTATGTAACTCACTCCAACTCCCATAGCTAGTAAATATTAGAGCCCTGATTTAGCCCTGGGCGTCCTAACTCAGGAGGGTATGATCTTTATATAATGAGTTCTCTACATCTGCACACACAAATCAACACATAGTAAGTTTCTCGTTAGGCCTTGATAGAAAACCATGAGGAATTAAAGGAGATCAAGATTTCTGTGAATTTGGAGAAGGAAGAAAAAAATTAAAGCTCAAGGCAACATATTTGGACAGGAAGTTGAAACAAAGGTTGGAATTGGGAAAACAGAAGGAAAAGAGAACATGTACAGGTGATGTTATTGCTCCATCTCTATCACAGGATGTAAGAGCTTCGATTTTTCTACATTTTAAAAACCAACAAAATGCTTAAAGTCCTCTCCAGCTTGTATTTAGTTTTTTTTTCTTTTTTTTTATATACTTGACAGTTTTGAAGAACACGAAATACATTTTTAAATGTTTACCAATTTGATTTTGTTGTCTTCTTATGATTAGTCTGGAATTATAATTTTTGAAACACTACCACAGAGGTAAAATACCTTTCCCATAACACCATAGGAAAGGGTATAGGATCACAACATGATTTATTATTGGTAATATGAACCTTGATCCCCTACCCAAAACAGAGTTTGCTAGGTTTCTCCACAGTAAGGTTACCATTTTCTTCTTTTCCTGTTCTGTTCATTTAAAATAACTAAATACATCCCAGTTTCATAAGAAGGGAATGAAGCTACATCACCTAGAATGGTGATGTGTCTACGTACATTCTTTATGATAGTTTTGTAAGGAAAACTTCTGCCTGCAATTATTTTTTCATTATTATGTTTGTGTGGATGCCCTGAGTCAAAAAACAAACAAACAAACAAAAAAACCCCAAAAACATAATGTTAAGTGAAATAAATCAGACGCATAGGCTTGAATATCACATGATTTTCTCTGATGTACGAAACTCAAAATATAAATAAATTATTGAGCAAAATAAAAGACAATAGGAAGCAAGGAGAGTTCTTTTGCAACAGGGAAGAAGATGAAAAAAAATTACTATGATGTGTTATGCACATGGACCAACTTCCCATAATTAATACAATCACTATGTACTGAAACATAAAAATATTAATATATACAAGGTAATCATTTCTCTATCAATAATGAATAAATGAAATTCAAAGTTAAGACACCTTTTGCATTAATACCAAAAATATACTACTTATGTATAAATCTACTAAAATATATCCAGGGTCTATGTGAAGCAAAACAAAACCCTGACGACATGAATCAAATAATTAAATAAATGACAAGATAATCCATGTTCACAGATAGACTGAACATTTTCAAAATATTATTGATAGATTGGTACTAATAGAATTCCAATAAAAATCCCAGCACATAAGTGGCAACTGATCCAGAATAGCTAACACAGCATTGAAGGAGAAGAAAGTTGGAGGATTCGTACTGCCCAACTCTACAAATTACTATAAAGCTATATAATCAAGACAGTGTTATTTTGATAATAGAATAGACAGAAACAAGTGGAACAGAAGAGAGAGCCCAGAAAGAGACCAATGTAAATACACTTGACTGGTCTTTGACAAAAGTGTAAACATACTACAGTGAAGAATAGTCTTTATAACAAATGATGCTGGAACAATTGGACATTTACATACAAAAAAAAAGTAACTTAGGGCACCCTACCGAGGTCCCGAGTCGAGTGAAACATGCCGAATCAGCCCGCGACCTGGAAACAATCCACTGGACCCCCCCACCCCCCACCCCCCAACTCCTCTGTACAGCCACCTGGTTCCACACTACAAAGACACAGAGGACACTGTACCACCAGACCACGGTACTGAGTCCTGCTGCTCCCAGCCCAGAGGTAGGGGTTCTGAGCCGCCGTCTGACTGCTCCTGGTGCAGAGGAAGGGGCTTCCCGGCCACCATCCCTCCCGATGCTCCCAGCCCACAGGAAGGGGCTTTTGGGCCACCATCCCTACCACTGCTACCGGCCCCTGTCCCACCTCTCACAGCTCAGAGGAGGTAATCCGTGCAGGCACCAACAGCACCCCCCCAGTCAAAATGAGAAAACACATAAATAAGTCTCAAAATCAGACTTCCAGATCACCTACAGCAACCCCAAAGGGAAATGAGATGGAACACT